CCATCACCAGAGATGTTGTGTCCAAGCACAGCATCTTACACGTGGGGAGGCCAAGGCCCAGAAAGAGAAACAACTCGCGGGGGCCCATGGGGGATTCTTGGCTGAGCCAGGACTCTGAGCCAGCTCTCTAACTTCTAATCCCAGCCTCCTGATGGCTAACCCACTTCACTGAATGATGATAGCTGTCTTTCTTCCCATCTCATTTCAGGGAAACCAGTTCCTGAAATCAAGTCTTCTCTCCCAGAATTCCTGGATGCTGTGAAGCCAGAAAAGCCTTTGGCAGCTTCTGGAAGGAATGCTGAGGATGAACAGGAAACGGGACAGCCCATGAGGCCGGCCACCTGCCCAGGTAGTTTTAATTAAACTGAATTTCTTAATTTAAAGGAAATTTATTTAAGGAAGTGTTTCATCTGTAAGGATATTTAGCTCAGCATGTGATAACCAAAATACAGAAACAACGAAAGGAGATCGGAAAGTAAATCATGGATGGTGGTAACATTAAAGTCCTACTGGCAATGATGTAGGTATGTAAACACTCATGGAAATATACTCACAGTATATGAGTTAAAAAAGCTAAAAAAGTCAGATAACAAAAAAATATATACCGTCTCTTACCATTGTCATAAAAAGGAAACAAACTCAGTAATTGAGGGCTTTCTATGTGCCAGATACTGTTCTCAGCCCTTCAGAGATGTTGACTTGTTTAACCCTCAGTTAGCTGTCTGGGTGTGCTATTGTTACTGAGGAAAGTGCAGCACAGACAGGTTAAACAGCCTGCCCAGGTCATGGGTCACAGGGCCTGGTGTAAGTGCCCTGCACAGGCTCGGGGCTGGGAGCCTGGTGATGTCTCTCTCTGCCCTCGCAGCCATGAGGTGGGGCACGCAGGGGTGCCGCCAGCCCCATTCACTTCCTCCCCTCTGCCAGGGGTGGATCTGCTCCTTAGCCCGGAGCAGGAAAGTGACTTGTTCAAGGTCACACGAGTAGGAAGTAACATCCAAAAGCCATGTGATTTGAAGACTTATGTCCCCACGCACTGCACACACCACTCTCTCAAAGCTGTTCCGCCCCCTTCAGGTTTGTCTCCATCCCCTTGTGCCTGCAGAAGGGCTCCGGGACAGTTTGCCAAATGATGGGAGGTCTCAGCCAGGGGGAACTGCTATTCATGCTGTTTTCACCGCCTCTCCCCCGGAGCCCCACCTCCCTTCCACCCTCCTGCAGCCTCCTGAGTGGAGACAAAGATCCCAAATCCATGAAACCGCAGCCCATTGGCATGGTTCCTGGAACCAGGGCCAGTGTCGGCTGAGAGGAGCGTGCACGGGCTTTCGCATTAGGCAAACCTGTATTTGAATCTCAGCTCTGCCACTTTCTAGCAGGAGACCATCTTAGCCTCTCTGTACTTCATTTCTTCATCTAAAAAACGAGCATCTTAATAGAATGTACGTCATCATGGGTGGTAAGGGATCATACGTCTTGGTGTTGCACCATGTAGGTGCTCTTTAACTGTTTTTTTTTAGATTGAAGTACAGTCGATTTACAATGTGTTAATTTCTGGTGTACAGCACAGTGATTCAAATATATATATATATATATACACCCACCTATTCACATTCTTTTTCATTATAGGCTATTACAAGGTATTGACTATAGTTCTCTGTGCTCTGTAGGAGGACCTTGTGTTTGGTGCTCATTAAATATTAACCAATATTGGGAATATCCCAGACACCCCAAATAGGTAGAGTCTGGCAAATTAATTCTAGGCCAAGGAGTCTGAATTATTTCTTGTAACTAAAGATTTAAAAAGAAAAAAGGCACTACTTGATCAGCAGAAAATAAGGGGAAATGGTCCTAAAGCAAATGTGGTACTGTTTGATGGCCAAAGGGAAAGATAATAATAAAATAGGGAAATTCTAGGGGAGTGCTGGTGAGGATGGAGGAGGCTACAGGTATAGCAGCTTCTTCAGGGTTCCTTAAAAGATACATTATAAATCTCTGCCAGCCTTTGCACACTTCACTTTCTTGAATGGTCCTTGGGAGCACATGTGCCCAGACAGGGCAAGACGATAGATACAGTCTGCAGACAGAGACAGGAAGTCGACTGTCTGTTTTTGCCTGAACTGAAAATAAGGATGTAATTGTTAATTTCATCAAATAGCCCAAAGCTATTCTGGGGAAAACCCCAAGGTTCCATTGGGGCCCAGAGTTCCAGCTGATGATCTCATCGGAGTGGAGGACATAGAGGCTGGCTGGGATGCTGGCTGCGGGGGAGGGCGCAGACAGATGGGAATGGTGACTGCCGGCTGTCACTGAAGCAGCCTGACAACCTCTCGATAGCCGAAGAAGGAGACATAACCTGTCAAAGCTTCATAGCTGGAAAAGTGGTGGGACCGGATTCAGCTCAGGCGGGCTGTCTGACACCCTCACGGTAAGTGAGGAGAAAGTGGGGAGAGACCTGGAGCAGGAGATACAGGCGCAGATGAGCCACAGACAGGTTCTGAGCACCTCCTCAAACAGATTCTCAAAGCCCAAATTCGGACAAAAGGGCTCTGAGTGGCTGAAATCACTGTCACAAAGCCTGACCCGTTAGGGGAGGCGCTGGCCGTCAGAATCGATTTCCGCTCATTCTGTGCGTAGTTTTACCAGCCTCAATACTCTGTTGATACGGAGACCGAGCTTTGTGCTTTATGCTATCTCTTTTCATCCGGACAAGGATTCTACAAAGAATGGACAATGACTGCTTTTTTTACCTTTGAGAAAGCTAAAGAAATGAAGCCCAGCTCGCCCAAGTTCAGCTCCTTAGGGATGACAGAGCCAGGACCTGAGCCCAGTTCTGTCTGCTTCCGAGAAAGGAGAGCGGGCAGCTGAAGAGGCAGACCCACTGCCAGCCACAGGGCAGGATACAGGAAGCCCTCAATGAGGCACAGCACCGCTGTGTGCTCTGTGTTCCTGCCGGCAGGGACGCAACTCAGCGGGACACGATTCAGTGCTTGAGAAAGCAGATGCTCTAGGAAGATTTCTGTGGGAAGTGGCACCTGAAGGGTTAGCTGTTAGTGTTTTGGAAATGACATTTGTATAGAGCGGTGTCTTCCCTGACCCAGGACTTCCATGAGTGTTTACAAAGCAAAGGCTAGTTCTTAATCTGATTTCTCAGCCTTGCGGTATTGGCCCAAACCCCACTCCTTTCCCTTCACACCCGCAGAACCACAGGGGTAAATAGACTCAGCCACCCTTCTAGTAGCCCTCCTCTGTCACAAGAGCAGACCTCAGCGATCTCCCGACCCTAAGAGGCCTGGTGCGGCCTCCAGAGCAAAGTCCAGGCATCACTCAGACCAGAGGATCATGGCTGTGTGAGGCTAGCACTGACCTTGGAGTCACTGGGCAGCGGGAGAGGAGGGCGGACCATGTGTGCAGTCCGCCCAGAGACCAGCACTGGGTCGAGAGAGCGGATGGGGCAGAACTTGAAGAAAGAAGCAGGAGAGAAGTCTGGTTGGCCTGGGGCTGCCGTTCCAAGTGGGAAGCCTGTGCCCCAGTGGTACATGAGAACATGTGTGTTTGAAAAAACATATATCACATGCACCAACAACTGGGGATTTTGAGGCTAAATATCTCCATGAATCAGAGTGGACTGAAAGAAAAACATCAAGTAACTTCTCACGGAGCAGCAGAGACACTCAGCTAACACCTGGATGGGTGAATGTGGCCACAGTTTGGGTGACTCAGGCCGAGGATATTGAGCCAAAGCCAAGAGAAGGCAGGGCAAGGGCAGAGTGGCCGAGAGCCTTTCTGCAGGTCAGTGTCCCCTCCGCACCCAGGGGAGCGACCCCAGGAAGCCTGGCTGGGTGCAGATATGCGGATGGATTTGAGTGAGCAGCGGGGCTTCTGCTCAGTTACACTGCCAGTAGGCAGTCTGCAGCGCCTTGCTGGTTTCATTTACTTTGTTTTCTCTTGTCCCTTTTTATTCTGGTTTTATTTTTCCCTTTTTTTGCCGAAGGTTTACTTCCCATGTCTGAGCTGTAGCTTAGTTTAAGTTGTAGCGACTGATGGACTGAGAGGGGGCGTGTGAATGTGTGTATGCACCTCTCTGTTTTGGGGAGGGGTGTTTAGTGTTAGCACCCCATCCTGGGGTTCTCTGGTGCAGTGTGGGTGTGTAGTCCTTTCAAATATAGCCAATTCTGGAAAATGTGAAAAAAAAGAAACTAGAAACAAACAACAACAACCACAAAATCCCCCAAAGACTCTAGAAGCAGCAGATGACTGAGGGAGAGAGACTGAGGGTGGCCCCTCTTCTTGGGCTTTGTGCCTCAGGCTTTGTATCAGCTGAGTTTTGTTTTATTGGCTGCCAGTTTGTTTTGAAAGGCTGATTCTAGTTTCACCCTAGTGTGCTTTTCAGTCTTCTGAGTTAATTTTTTTATGGCCAGAGTTCCGGGTTAATCACTCCTCACCTGATGATGTAAACCGGAAATACGTGAAGCAGGTGGATTTGGTCAGCCACCCTGGGGTCAAAGCCAGGTTCCCTGGGGAGAGCTGGGCCCCTCATTGCTCAGAGGCCAGCCCTGCAGTGGGACCACTTGGGTATTTCCAGAAGGTGACATGTGAGGCTTCTGGCCAAGGTCCACGTCCACGTGGATCAGCCACCTTGGCCCGTCTCGTTCCTAGACTGCATCTGCTCTGAACCAGCAGACTCCTCAGTGTTCACATTAATTTTCACGTGCGCCTAGTGAAGAAGTGTCACCCTCTTTAACCTGACTTTGCCCTGACCCTAAACGGCTCTTCAAGCCGCCCCTCTCTTGTGAATCTTTTTTTTTTTTCATGGCTGTACTGGGGATTGAACCCAGGACCTCATGCCTGCTGAGCACGTGCTCGCCCACTGAGCTATACCCCATCCCCTCTTGTGCATCTTCTTTATTCACTAAGGGATTAAGAGCACAGACTCTGGAGCCGCTGACTGGGTGCCCTTGGAAAGGTTAGGTAACCTGTCCATGCCTCAGGTTCACCGCCTGTGAAGAACAGATGATTCTGGCACCTGTCTCCTAGGACGGCTGTGAGGCCGCAGTGAGTTCGCACAGGGAAGCATTTAGAACAGTGTCCTGAGCGCTGTCAGCGTGTGCTAATTAAGCGTGCCGGGGTGTGACTGCCCCCCAGGCTCTCCCGCTGGCACGCCTGTCACGGGCCCCGCCCGCTGCCTCGGTGCCCTCCTTCCTCATACCTACTTGTCATAAGTGCTTGCCCATCTTTCAAGCCCAGGTCAGATGTTCCTCCTTCTGTGAAACCCTCTTCCATTTCCCAAGCCACTGAGGCCAGCCTCTCCTGCCTGTGCCCTAGGAGGCTGGTTATTGCCATTCCCGCCTCCGTGGAGGTTTCTGGAAGGCAGGCTCTGTAGCTGTTCACCTGTGTCCTCCTCTGCTGCTTGTGCGGGAGGTGGGACTGTGTAGGGGTTAGAAATCGCCAGGATATCCATTTGGAAACTGGCTCTGCCACTTACTGTCAGTGTGGCCCGGGGCAGGAGGCCACCCCCAGTGCCTCCCTTTCTCCACCCCTGTCATATGGGGATGTTTTATGGGACAAACCTACAGGCTGTCACCAGGCTTCGGCGGAGTAACACGTGAGCGGTGTGTAGGCTGCGCCTGGGCTGTCAGGAAATGGCAACGGTCATGATTGACAGTGTGGAGTGAATGACAGACGGGCTCAGTCGGGGGACCAGACGGGGACCCTCCCGCCTTTCTCCAGCGGCCTCGGCCTGACCCACAGTCCCTCCTTTCCAGGGCCCCCTCCAGCCAGAGCCAGCCTCCCGGCTCCTCCTGAAGATGCCCCTCTTTCCTTAAAAACCGACCTTCCCACCTCATCTGATTCGAAGGTAAATCCCCCACCCCCAAGTGACAGCCCCCAGCTTGTGACTCTCTCTCAAAAATACAGCTTGTTTATTCCTTGAGACCAGTTTGAGGGTCAGGGGTCAGGCTGAGGGGGAGAAATGAGACCCACCGAATTACTCTGAGCTTCTAAGACTCAGAGTGCCGGCCTTCAGTAAAGCAGGGACGGGGAGGGGAGAGGATGCACTTCAGTTTCTAATGAGCTTTTCCGTTATTGGTGTTTAAATGAGAGCTGATAATCGAGACCTTCCTCCCCCACAAATACCTTAGTGACAGCAGCCATTTGCTTACAGACTGCCTCCCCTCCAACCTTTTTGCAACCGGAAATGCATCCGAGTTATCCTGAATTTTTAATGACTTGGGTCCTACCTGGGCCACAAGTGGCTTCTGTGGGTCTTAAGCACTTTTGCCTTC